GAGATATTCGGCGGTGACCTCGCATCCCTACAAAGTCGGGACGGAGGGTGTTCGGCATCTTGTGCTTACTTCCTTGCGTACGGATGACAGCTGCGTATGACTTTATGTATTTCCTGGTGCTTGCACTTCCTGAGACAGTTGTAAGCACTGTGTAACTGCCTCGAGGGTGCTTGACCATTTTAACACAACGTGGTGCGATCATCCCCCTTGCGCGGAGCGGGTTCTCCACCCCGCACAACATGATCTACTCGACCACCATTATGGTTATTGCCAACAAAAAAACAGAGGTAAAAAAGAACGGTAACCTGGCAACACAGGGCGTCAAAGTACGCGTACGTACGTCCTCTCTACCTTCATAGCCTTGATGATGTACTTCTGGTCGTGAGAGTAGAAGAAGAAGCTGCCCGACTTGGAGTTGGTGATCAGCTCCAGGTAGTCGTAGTTGCCAGCCACGGAGAGCATGTACGCCGACTACACGAAAAAAAAAAAAAAAACACGCACACACACATACACAGTACGGCGGGGGAGTTGTCGCAGAACGCCGTCCTTGTGCGTGCGAGGAAATAATGCAGTCCTGGCCCCTTTCGGCCCACGGGCGACTCCAGTAGTACACTGCTAGACACGAGTCGGGAGGGTCGACCGACTTGAAATGTAATCGGAGATTTTCTGCCCCCCTTGAAAACTTGGACGGTCATGACTTGGAAGAGAAAACGGCAGGATTGGTTGCGGGAGGGGCGGGGCATATTTCTCAAATCTCCCGAAGTGGAGGAGCTCGTTGTCCAGCTGCAACCGGGAAAAGGGCGTTGGGCATGCATGCAGCGACCGCGTATTGAGCACGAGCAGTTTGAAAGTCTCCATATATATCGCGTTGACAAAACGCAGAACACATTACGATCAATGTTCAGTTCCCTCGTCGTCCGTGCCAACCCACCCAGCGAGAATAACGGGAATGGCGTCGACAAAGGCGTTCACCCCAAAGTACGGGACTGAAAAAAGCAATCCACGGTACACTCATGTACCGGGATTCGGGAGTCCGCACACGGTGCGGTACCGAAAAGCAGCACTGTATGACGCAAACCGTGCACATCATCGTTGCCTGTACACGACACCGTCACCATCACATGATCCCGCAAACCGTGCGGATTATCCCCAAGCAGCGCACGCTGCCGCGACCGACATGTCATGCCCGCATAGCATACGACCGTACGACACAAGCCTTGAGATGCTAGATGTCAAGCATGACTTCATTCCACGTCCGCCGCTCATCGTATCAAGTGATCGCAGGCGTGACGAAACACACACACAGACACCAGCGCACCTTCCGAACCACGTCGCGTTTTCAACGGTACTGAGACTTTGGTCAGCCGGTAAGCGCGGTCAACGCTGAAAAAAAATCGTATACACCACGGAAGGCGTCCGCGTCAGTTGGACCAGTACGGACATAAGAAGGTACTGAGCGGAGGCTGGAACGGTTTTAAATGTGAAGACAGCAACAACAACAACAACAACAACAACAACAACAAGACACCTCCTCGATGCCGAAGTGCTGCCTGAGCTTCTTGAAGGCCTTCGGCGCGTAGTCCCTGAACTTAAACGTCTTGTTAAGCTTGTGGGAGGGCGTTGCCATTCTTCCCGTCGCCCCTGCCGGGGGAAAGGTGTACTTGTCCACCTGTTTTATGTTTGTTCGAGACAAGTGTTGTGTTGATTGTGGAGGACATGATCCATCTCCGTGTCAAGCGAGGGACACGAGTCTCCCATCTTTTCTCCTCTGCCACAAACCCATGGCCGTCAACCGCTTGCCGCCTCCGACAAGAACGGCTCCGACAAGAACCGGCTAAACAGCAAAGGAAAGACAGCAGCAACGTGAACAACACCGACGATAACACCACTTTCAGCAGCAACAACAGCACCAAACACCCCCCACCACCACAATCTCCACTGTCACCCCCCCGACCATAATACCACCAGCACCAGCACCAGCACCACCACATCCACCACCATCGCAGGCAACCACCCGCCTGCGAAAACGCCTCCTCCGAAATTTCCGCTCCGGGTTGGTCGAGCGGATTGGACTGTCGCCCCACCGCCACCCTGACGCCCAGCATCATCCGGATTGTGAGTTTGAGCCTCTTCTCGTCTCCCTTCTCGTCCGGCTCGGTGTGTCGGCCCTGGCCACGCACGCGCGAAACGGAAACTGTTTTTTTATTTTTTACCCCCTGCCGACCGGCGGTTGGGCCGGCCGCCAGCCAACCACACTTCACACCCAAAAGCAGCAAAAAAAAAAATGTGGAGCCGATCGCGAAGAGTAAGCAGCCAGAAGGCAGCGCAGAGACAACCAAAATATAAGGTCATCATCGCCAACACACCGCATGCAACGCCATCAGTTGCTGCCTGCCTTAGCATTTTCCGTCCTGGAAACACTCGTGCGTGCACGGCACGAGCGACGGTTGCAGAATCGATGAACCCTTTCCGCACAACCGTCAGCGAGAGAGAGACACACTACCTTCCTTTCCAAAACCGGCTTCGAGTACGCAACACTGCGTTGAGTTCAACCACACTCATAAATAATAGTCCCACCCATCAACGGGAATATCGAACTTTGTTTTGTCTTTCTCGCCTTGGCCTGGCCCTCCTTGAGACGGTTGATGCGAACTCGGTTGCGCGCCTGCTTGACGAGCACGTCTGCCGCCGTGGCTACCCCCCCTGCCGTCGCGAAGTCAATATCTTGCAAATAGACTGGCTGCTTCAGATGGATGGACCGACAGACAAATGGGACAAAAAATACAAGACAAGACAGATTAAAGCATGGACAAATAAGGACAGACAAGACAGAAGAAAGAAGTGGACAACAACAGGCAGATGATACAGAAGGCATTCGAGAAATAGTTGCTGACTTCGCGAAAATGGCATACAACATGAACTCGAGGTAACCGTGCATGCTTGTGATCAATTCATACTGCGTCCCGCGGCATATTCCTAGAGGACGATTGTCGTTCGAACGGCAACGTGGACAGCAGTGCTTCAAGGCGAACAAACAAAACAAGTTTACGGTGCCATGCGTCCCAGTCTCTCTTTATTACCACTGCTGTCGCCTTGCTCCGCTGAAAACAACTGCCAAAGGACGAGGCCTGGGCTTCCGGGAGACGGGCTTTTCGAGCAACATCCAACCTTGCACAGCTGAAAGGGTACTTTTAACAATTACTCCAAACTCCCTACATTTCGCCTCCCAAAAGGCATTTCGCTTTTTGCGAGGCATGAAGCGGCGTGATACCAACCGGCAAGAGCAGTGATGGTCGAGAGCGAACACGTGCAGACCATTGGGGACTCTGCCCCCGCCCCCCGGCCCCCGGTGCATGCCATCACCATCGGGGTTGGGTTTTCGTCGCTTGGCAACGACGTTGTAAAACAAGCCAATTCACTTCGTGAACTCGGCAACCAGGTTACCGTTTATTTTTTACCCCTGTTTTTTTTTGGCGGTTACCATCATGGTGGTCGAGTACATCATGTTGTGCTGGGTCGAGAACCCTCACTCCGCGCAAGGGGGATGATCGCACCACGTTGTGTT